TATATTTTTATATATATAATCGTCATTTTTATGGATAATATAAATTTTTTATATTTTTATATATATTTTTTTCTACGAGGGTTGGCTAATTGAATATACATATTTAAATATTATATATATATAATTATTAATGATTTATCATGCTATGACGATTAAAATGATCTGATTTGCTAAATATTAACTTTACTGACCTAAGAAGAATGGGATAATCGTCAAGTTCATCTCTTGGCATGGATGTGCAACAGACATTTGATGTTCTTCTTGCTCCAGAATCTGCTTTTATATACGACCGGTTAGATTCTCATTAAGAGTTAGGATTATCACTACCGACGTCATAAGACTTGATTCGTCATCATTCGTATCGTTTTAAGAAGACGTATTCATCACTTACCACCCGAGTACTTATATAAACTTTATTCTAGATTTTATTTTAACAATGGACTAACATTACTTTAAGCTTTTACCTGTTTATTATTTGAAAGACTTGAGGCAGAGGTAGAGTTTAACAAAAGATCGTTGAGAATTACTATCTTTTAATATTTTCTATCACCATTTAGAATATTAGATGCAGCAAATAATACGGTGTTTTGATATTAAATTCATTGCATCAAAATCGTCATCTTTATTTCTTCAACGAATTCGACAGTTGTCTGACAGATGGATCAAAGTTATCAATAAAATAATAAGCGCTATTTCGAAGAATAACAGATGTACGATTAACTATATAAATAAATACTAAATTTAATTAAAAATTTACCGAATTAATTGCTACACCTAATAAATATTATTGGTCAGTATTGCACTGACTAATAAAAGAACAATCATTATTTGTAGGAATTAGGGTTTCGTTAGATCGAAATGTAGATCACGGATAGAGAGAGAGAGAGAGAGGGAGAGGGAGGGGAGGCAGAAAGAGAAATACTACTAACCTAAAAAATACGATATTATCACGAAATCCATGATAGAAGAAAAAGGTGAGGAAGAAATATGGGTTCCCTTCTTGTTCAAAGTCTCCGTGTAGAGTGTAATGCACAATCTGCATTTCTGCCCTACCATGTTACACTATAGCTTTTTATCCCATTAAAGTCCATTTCCGTTTTGACTAGTTGCGCAATCATCAATCAACTTACGAGGTCATTTTCGTCTCACTCTTTTGTATTACCCTTAAATTATACTTATTGTTAGTAACTCTTCATTATTGTTATTCTGTTATTATATGATTCTTAATTGGGTGATATTATTTTTTGGTCACAATTAATATTTTCTGTGATTTGTTTTGACGATGATCTTTTTATTTGGATGCTAATGAAAATGTAAAATTCAATTGACCCAATCAAATCACATATATCCACACTTATTGTCTTATTTGTGTACTCATATAGCGTACTATAATGAAAGATAGGGGTTACTCACAATAAGTTATGATCTGGGGGTGTATGACAACAGGAAGCATCGAAAAAAATTTGGTTTTTATAATAGGAACAGTAAATAAATATAAATATTTGAACATTTTACAACAAAAATTATAGGAAAATGCAAGAAAAATTAGATATACATATACAAAGACTTTTACTTTCAACAGGATAATGATTCTAAACATATCGTAGGAATCGTTAAGAAATAGATCATCATATATATCCCCCCTCCTCCTCCTCCTCCTACCCATATGTTGGTCACACCACCGCATAGTCCTAATGAACATTAATGGGCAATAACAATTTCAAGCCGATCTATGTCAAAGTTCAAAGTACCAATGCGTTTGACATTAAAAACTGAAAGAGTAAAAGGGGAAAGGACTCTTTTGATCTGCCGCATTTGTTTACTGTTAAAGGTCTAAAAGTTTCTTCAATTGTTAGCCCTCAAAGAAAACCTTAGTTCAATCTCATTGTCAGTGTTTCTATTATCAAATAGAATCATATTTTAAGATTTCAGTCTTCCTTAAACAATAATATTAAAAACAACTCGAGATATTTACTACAATCGAAGCTTCCCTCCCCCTCCATTCTAAAAAAATAGATTGAATGAATAAACTATATTTTGTTTAATTAAAAGAATGAAAAAAAATAATAATAACTCATAATGATAAATGTATAAGTACAGCCCTGGGTCATAGAAAACATTTCCCGCGCTCGATCGATATCGGCTGCTACGCAAGAATGACCTGCCATCTACTATGTTTTCTCGAGTACTATTATGCGTACTACTTACGCACGATCAGCTGATCCATTCGGGTTCTTCTCCATTCATGCGGATATTCGTTCAATAATTCCTATAGTATACAACAGCGCTTACCAAACTTTTTCTATGGCGAACCGATATTTTTTAGAAAATTTTTATACATTCCACTTTTTTGTTCAAAACATATTTTATATTATTTGAAATGTTGATATTAATTTTTGCCTTAAAAAATAGATTTATTATAATATTTAATTTAATAAATGAGTTAATAAAATATTATGTTATTCATAATAGACTTTATTAAACTCAATATATTGCACATTTTAAAATAAATGTAAATAATTTTTAATAATAATTAATAATTGAAGTAGAGTAGTTTCCTTTTTCTTTTTCAATTTTTTCTCAAGATGTAGGTATATTTTTTTAAATATTAAAAAAAAACATTCATATAATGTTTTTTAATAACATAATAATTTTCACAAACACTTCAATGTAATATTTGTACATTGTATGATGATATTTTTGATGAATTTCTAGATTAAGCTTTTCGGAACGTGCCAATGGATGTACTCTTTGCACATTATAATGAAAGTTTATTAGGTAAACTGGAAAAGCTAACTTGTTGCATTATATGATTAACCATGGAAGCTGAAAAGTTAGTGAAAAGTTAGTTTTTCAAGAGCTATAGATTCAAGCTTTACATGCATATTTAATTTTGAATAATTAGTATTGTTATATTTTCGATAGAATTTAACGAAATTTGTCGAATCTAATACTCCTACGTAACATTCGTCTAGTATAATGATCGAAACTAGAATAAGTATGAATACTAGTAGAAGCTGGATGCGAAATCATTGGAGGAACGTTTCTAGCAGGATCAACACTTTTTAAAATCACAGAAATCTTTTGACGAGATGGTCCATTCCTTAATCCGCCCATTATGATTGGTAGACCTTCGGAAACAGTTTCCGATGAAAATCCTTTTTTGGATATGATCATTCTAGTATTAGAAGACACCTAATAAAAAAAAAGCACGATTCTAGTATTTGTAATTAAGATTATTATTATAATCAATTAGAGTGCGGATGTTTATAGCCTAAATAGTCTAAATTTTGTCATGTCTTGAAACGTAAATTGACCATGATTCACTGCCATAAAGGACTACAAGTAAAATAATTGTTCTATGAATACCAAACATAAATTTTAGATACCTAAACAACACTCATGAACCGAATAATTTATATATAATACTAACCGAAATAAAGCATGCATTTACCAAATTAATTCTTTTTTCAAGCTCTTTTCTCATTTCATTATTTTGATCTAGAATCTATCCTAAATATATAAAACATTTGCATAAACATCCTTACTAATCAAGAAATTGATTTTACCATATCCATGAAAGTTCCTCTTTCCCTGTCATCCCTATGACTTATAGGAATTCCAAAAAAATAAATAGGCCTTCTTTGACACTTTTTCGAATGCCTGATCTTTTCAATAATTATTTGACCACCTTGATTAAGTATGTCTCTGTAACGTAATTCATTAGAATCTAACAAAACCAATTGTAAATTGGCATGAGCGTATTTTTCGTTTTCATAATATCCACCAGAGACAAGGACCCTCGAATTTACTTCGCAATGACCAATATTTGAATTTTCGGCTGTTTGAAACGAAGATTGTCCTTCTTTCAGTTCAAAGCCAATATGTAATTGACTTACAATAGCTTTCGTTACATCCAATTTCCATCTTGTAATAGTTCTTTTTACTACGAGATTCTCAATACCACGAGAATTGTATCTGATTTCGAACGGATCTTGATCGAAAAAGAAATGATCATTTAATGGTACAAAATTGCTCGACCATTCACACGTCGTCGAACTATCGTTAATCGTTGAAAATGTTATAATAGGGGTTAGAAAATAGCAACTAAGCGTTTCGGCATCTTTCACTCGACATTTGAGCTCGTTGGAGATAGTCGAACAATAAATACGTCTTCCTCGATCGATATCAGATCGAGAAAAATTTACTAACACGTCGAAAGTCATTTCTCCACCATATTGCCATTGGTATTTTTCTCGAGGGTGTTCTGGTGTCAATTGAGTAGCTGGAAATAGATGTTTAGAGTATTTTTTTTATTCTATTAGGTTGCTTAATTAATAATGCCGGATTTTTATCCCTAATTATAAGTGATCGTGTTTATATATACTGTTTATTAAACAGATTTAAAAACATATATACTATAAAACATACTATACATAGACTATAAAACTCATAGTCTGAAAACTGAGATTTTTAGGTGCAATTTAAACAAAAAAGACTACATTGTTTTTCATCAAATTTTGTAGTATTTATTTGGATTTGGACCAATATATAATTTCAATAAATTGTTTGTATATTAATCAAATTACGACATTACTTATTGGCCAACCCTATTAAGTTGGCTTAAATGGATGATCAAAAATCTTCTATTCTATTATAATTATATTACACCATGAATCTAATTATATACTTAATGTAAAACTAATTAGTTTAAAAAAGAATGAATTTCATTTGCTAAAGGATAAATTTAAAGTTCAAAGTCTATATTTATTTGAAATAGTTTAATGAAAAAAATAATCAAAAAACAAAAGTATGCAAATATAACGTACATGTAATGACTAGCACAAAGTAATGTACTTTTTATTCTTATTTTATACACCATTAACGCGTTTCAACATAGCTAAATAACTTATTGTAAAAACTTGTTATTTTAAAAACTTTTAAAAGAAAATATATTTTTTAATCGCGTAAATTAATGTAATGTATAAGAAACTATCTCGTAAATTAAGGAAAGATTGTATATGAAAAATACACGTATGTACATACCTAAAAGAAATGGTATGATGGTTACTAACATGTTCACTGTTATCATTCGACTAACTTAAACATCTTCTCATTCGTTTCCTTTTTATAAGACAGATAAGCCAATTCTTTGAACCTTCTCCTTGAAAATAATTTCATTAAGTAGCGTTTTCCGTATAGATGATGATCCTGGTTCCTTAACGTCTGGCATATTGATCAGAGGCGTAATAAGCGTGTATTACTTTCCGACTCGATTCACTGAAAATTCTAATGAATTCCTAAGTATTCTAAATTGAAAAAATTCGATCGCATATTTCATAGATCGGATTTAAAGATTAGTGTATTTCTAAACCGGTATGCGAAGTGATTTAAACGATTATTCAATAGCCAAGAAGATAGTTCGTTTATTTCATTTACAGTCAAGTCTTAGATTTCGAGTAATTTGATTTACGTGTGTTCCGCAAGATGAGGAAAACTTTTTGATTTGATTAACGAGCAATGTCATAAAATACGAGCAATGCAAATATGTTTAGTAAACGACAAGGATTAACTTGTTTTAATTTTTATTTAGTATTTTCTATTCATTTATAATATCATTTTTATATTAATTAACGAATTATTTGATTTTCCATTATATATTTCTTTCTCACTTTGATACATTGATATACAAATGTTTTGGATTACGAAAATATTTTTTTAACGAATTATGCTCGCAAACTAAGATTCCACTGTACTCTTTTTTTGAAATGAAACTTCTTAGGCAACTGTAATGATAGATTTTTATGAAACGATATGAAAAGAGTGTGTGTATGCATGAGATAAGTCGATCGATAGTAATTGCAAGATATGTTTATTCATGGAAAAATGAATGGGAATTTTATATATTTTGAGAGTGTTTGATATATCCTAAATATAATTGTTAATTAATTCAAGGGAATTTATATTGTAGTCTAAAAATACAATGAGTAGTTCTTTTCGAAATGCGAAGTTAAACTGACTCTTTGTCTTCTATGAGTCAATTAAAATTCTTTTATTTATAGTTGTTTATATGACTTTCCGAAGGCTACATATGAATAACAAAAATAATAGAATTTAATCTTCTGAAAATCATATAAATAACAATCAACATTTCATAAAAAACAATGAGTCAGTTTTACGGTGGATTTCGAAAAGAACGATACGTCTAACTTATATTCTGTACTTTTAGACCACAATATACTTTTTTTCGATTAATTAACAATCAATTAAGGTAAATCGAACACAGTACTGTACCCTAATAATATTTTCGATTGTTTAAACTAAAATGTACTTGTTTTAACGTTCCTGACCAGTAATGAATTTGAATTAAAAATTTGCATCTAATAAAATATCAAATGGAAATATATGTATTCGAAGTATAAGTAATTTTTAAAATCAAATTTACTTTATATTATTCTTACTTTAATGAGTATTAAATTAACTCTGATAGTAAAAAACATTTAAATAACTATAAAAATAGAGGATAACCAATTATTAGACATGAAAAATCAAAGTATATTAGATAGAAAAAATCCTGTTATAACAACATATACAATTTTTAGTGACGAACGTTTTCCATACGCTATTTTCAGTATTTGTTTAATTAATTTGCTATAAATAAAGTTTTCCAGTTAAATTCATTAAATATTTAATTAAGATATTATACTAAATATTTTTATTTCTAAATTGTCTTCATTCTTAAACACATTATATATTAATAGTTTTGAAGCAAAAAATCTAATAAGCATAACCGTGTACAATTTTAAGGGACACTTGCTGTATAAATGAATTAATTGATTATTTTCCACGTGTGATTATACGAGTTTTACTTTCATCGAACGTCAATGCCATGCACATTCTTTGTTTCCTTTTTTTTTTTTTATAACAATAAATTAAATAAAAATTATCAACAAGTATTTAATTCTTTAATAGTAAATAATATCTTAAAAAGAAAAGATTTTTTGAAACAAATTTTTCATACGAAAGTATCTTTCTTCGTCTTTATACCAATCATCTTGAATCATAAAACTGACCCATGTAGCATCGGGGACCATAGGTAATTCGCTTTTTGGTGTCGACACTACTTCCAAACTCAATTTTATCTTATCGTTGAGGGTAAAATTTCTACTTTTATCCTTATTACTGATGATGATTTCATTGATTGTATAGGAAGTAAAGTTCGAGTCTGATATGATTATATTGCTTTGGGATGATTTCTGAAACAGCAAACAGTGTTTCGGTATACCGATCAAATAAATATCAGTCTATCAAGTATAAAACGTTCAATTGCAGTTATCGGATCATTTCATGCTTAATAACTTATCCTTCCCTCCTCTTATAAAAGCAAGACGAATAAAAAGACATTGAATACATAAATTCGATCGCTTACTATAGTCGTAGTGACTTCAGCAGGTAACGTCGAATAAGCAGACAGGCTACCAAAAAAGTATACTTTCTTTTCTTCGCTATTATCGAAATATCTTATCTTTTCTATGCTGACAACTTCACCAGTTAATTTTCTAATCCCATTGTTCATCGGTATTATCTCGAATTTGTCATCTTTCCACCGATCTTCCGGTAAACGATGATGATCAAGCACTACCATTGTTTCGCATTCCCCAAAATACGATTTCTCTATAGCTGCAAATTTGCCATCAGGTTTATTTCTAATATCAATACCAATGTTTAATTGATTAACTATCAATCTAATCATATCGATAGTCCAGGGTTCCATATCCTTTGTAACCACCAAATGGCTAATTCCATTTTTGTCGAATTTAATCTCGAATGGTTCATCATTCGTTCCCAAATCTTCGACATATAATCGCACCAATTCGAACAAGCCTCCCTTATACATTCGTATATTGGCTTCTTCGAAACGACAATTCAACGTGTCTGGTACTTTTGGACGACATTTTAAAGTATTTACCGCATCGAATGCTTTTGTCATTTCACCACCAAGTCCATCATTATTTGTGGTATTTATTTCAATTCGGTAGGTGTATTCCGGACCATAAAGGAATGAATCAATGTCCACCGAAATTTGGCTCACTTTTTAAAAACAGATTTCATATGAAATGAAATATATTTGGTAATAATAATTATATACCTTGTTAAAACACTAAACGTACCGATCATTTATGTATATTTATTTATATCACAGCAGATCTAATGAGAGACCTTTTTGAAAGGCGTATATTTTACGATTTATTATAACAAAAAATATTATATCATTTATGCAATATAAGAATTCCTTACTCACCAAATAATATTATAACTTGTAAAAGAATTTAATTATTATAATAATTGTATGATCGGTCATTGAAATCCGGTCGTGGTACGTTTAGTGTTAAAAATTGCGTTTAAAACTTACGTAGAAAAAAGGGTAATAGCAAGAAGGTGATCATGATGACGTACAAAATACGACTGCATTTAATCTCCTCTTGTTCGCCTCTCTTATATCTATTACCGGCAATCTGTTGACCCCTTAACGCGCCGTCATTTAATTAACGTTATACCTTCTCTCTCTTTCTCTCTTTCTCTCTCTCTTTCTCTTTCTCTCTCCAGGAAGTTAAGTTGACAATATATAATCATCGACAATTTTATCATTTAACAAAATGTCGTTGAAATTTCTTCAAACTAACTCACACGCAACTATATCAACTTCATTAATCTATTATTTAATCGTTACAAATTATCATTTTTCTTTACACTTAATTAATTATTTTCTTTTCTTTACTGTTCATTAGGAATCAGTTTTGGTATTCAAATTGAAAAATTTCTTTCTCACTTTTTCTTGCGTTTCGATTTTCCATGTCAGTGCTTTCGAAGTTTAACTTGGTGAAATTAATAAATCATGGTAGTTTCATTTAATTTCAAACCTCTCTCTTTGGATACGTAACCATGACTTTAATGTGGATTTAATACAATTATACTATTGCAATATCAAGTTCTGTACACTTGAATTAACATAAAATTTGATTAATTAATGTTTTAATCGCAACAATTTATTATTATTTATCTTTTTTGTTTGTCTTTAATTTATTTTTGTAACAATTCGATGGTATTGTACTTGGTATATATATTTATTTATTTCTTTTTATATAAATTATATATTATTATATATATATATATACAGTTGTGGTGTAGAAAATACTCGTGCACCTATCAATTTGAAATAAAATGTTGCGAAATTGTAGTTTATTAACTAATTTTTTATAAACGATGAATTTATACATATTCTTGAAAGTTTCTACAATAGATGTAATGAAACAAAAAATTATTTCTTTGAATATCTTTTGAATTTATATTTAAGGAAGATTAATTAATGTTGTATTATAGTTTGATCGGGTTTTAACGATGACATCAATGGACATTGGATTGCGTAAGCTTTTTAAACTACCTTGGGCCGGATGAATGGAATCCAGTGATATATATAAATGATCCAGAACACTACCGATTTTCGTTCGATCCTGATCATATATATCAACGAAATTTAACGTCTCGGAGATAAAACAATTTTTCGAAAATCTCATATTACTATCGGATGAAATCTGAAAAATATATATATTTAATTATATTCTAATATTTTAGTTTACAATTATATTTAATTAATTAACATTTATATAATTATTAAATAATTAATAGTAATAATATTTTACCAAACGGTACGTAGTGTTTTCAAAAATCGAATTGTGAATATCATTTCCAATAAAATAATACATATCAGGTGGAACGCATTTATCGAGAACAATTTTTCTATTAATTTTTATAACTTCGTCTTTATTCAATATTAAATCGATCAAGGGTACTAAATCGAATTGTTTTTTCTCACAATGATTGGTCTTTATTCGAAGGATTTTATAATCAGCCGGACACTTGCCCATAGAAAAATATTGTTCATCTTGAAAGTTATCCTTTTTCCCATCCAAATTCGTCCCAATATTAAGTTGATTGATGATCGTTCGAAACATATCGATTAGTACCTGACTCATAAGTTTATCATCATTTTCTAATACGTATGCATTTATTCCATTTTGATCGAATATTATTTCAAAATTTTTCCCACTGAATTTGAATGGCTCGTAACTTATGTTCCTCGCTGGTAATGGACCCACTCGATCAAATTTTTTCGATGAAAATTTACCGATTTTGGCATCCTCAAAATGACAAAATAAATTATCCGGTTCTCTCGGCCGACATTTCAGATTAACGAGCAATGCTTTACCCAAGTAACGACCTTTATCGTTTTCCATGGTCGAAATTATGCTCAAGTGTACGGAGAACGAATATTCCGGTCCGTTGTTCCAAGCATCGTCGTTACTTATCAAATTCGTTGCTGCAAATATTTTCAATATTATTTAAATATAGTCAAATGATGAGTAATTTCGTTCACAAACAAAAAATTTGAATTTTATGAACTAACAATATCTTGCAACGTATTGCAAACAGTATGAATACGTTTGGCAAATTACAAGGATTAACTTGTTTATTTGTTTATAAGTATTTTGTATTTTATATCATTTTTGTATTAATAAATATAAAATAATGAAATTTATTTTGATATTTTAATATACGAGTGTTTTGGATTAGGAGCTTATTTTTGTAACGAATTATACTCGCAAACTAAAATTCCATTATATAGTCAAACCTTGAATTGCTAATTCACAAGTTCACAAGTAATCCCCAAGACGAATAAAATATTTTGATTCTTTGAATTAACAATGTCTTGCAACGTATTGCAAGCAGTATCAATACACTTGACAAATGACAAGGATTAGCTTGTATAATTATTACTTAGTATTTCGTATTTGATATCATTTTTACACCGAATTATTTTGTTTTTCATTCTATATATCTTATGATAAAATTCATTTTGATACTTTAATATACGAGTGATACTTGATTACACTAGCTTATTTCTGTAACGAATTATGCTCACAAACCGAGGTACCACTTAACTTTTATGTACTTGATTAATATGTTTCAACATTTCTATCCATTTTCAAATAAATTGCTGTACTATATATGTTTTAAATAAACAAATTAATTAAAAGACTTTTACCGACCTAGAAGATACGGTATCAGAATGAAATTCATGACGATGTTGGAGGTAGGTTCTTGTCTAAATAACTTCCCCATTGCTCTAACATGTTCCTTTTATATCCTCGGCAAATGTTATAACTGACTTCACGTTATGCTATAATTTAATCGAATCTAATTCATCGGTAATATCCTTTAAATAAAATATCTACGTATTTATCTTTTATTTTTATTATAATACTAACGTAATAATATCTGCCTATCATTTTTAATCATTTTCATTATTATTTATCAATAAGAAAATAAACTTTCCTTTTATTATCATACTTTATCTTCTTTTTTAATGTTTTCTGCGTATCTTTCTTATGTCATGTTTTTTTAGATGTTTATTGTATTATTTTAAAAGGATAATTTAAGAATTATTAATCATCCGATTAATCGCACGTTCCAATGAATGAAGAAAAAACAAATAAAACATTGCACGTGTTTCGAAGATTGGATTCGAATCGACGCGACGTAGTAAGATTTATCACGTGTTTCTCTCTCTCACTCTTTTTCTCTCATAGATCATCGAGTACACTTGACCGAAGGCACGATACAGCGAAATAATCGTAGTGACCTTGACTCAAATATTCTATGCACACTACGTTCAAGTATTATAACCAATTACCTCCTACTACATTAAACGGAAAATTATGTCAACAGTTTGCTGTTGCAAGTGGCACCTTGTTGCAATTGTACCTCGTTCAATAGTATACCTCTTAAAACCTTGAATATCATGGGATTTTATCTAAAATATATTTGTCGTAACTTTATAATGAAATAGTTTCGTTTCATACTGTTTGAAATATTTTAGAATTTTTTAAATCTTTGAAATAGATATGATTTTGCGAGAATATACCTACACCTTCAAGTATGCAACCCGTTACACGAGTTCTTGAACTCCTTGAGATTGCAACCCTCTAAACGAAGCTTTTGAATTCCTTAAAATATGCAACCCTTTACACGAGGTCTCGTACACCTTGCAATATGCAACCCGTTATATAGAATAATTTGTTTGTTTGTTAGTTTGTTTAATCCTTTGTCTGTTGCAGCTTTCGTATACTTCTTATTAATTTATTTTTTGTTTTTATTTTTGATATCATAAATTAATATAATCATTTCGTGGAAAAAGAAAATATAAAAAAGATGATTTGTTACTCGTTCGCTTGCTCGATTTCAGAAGTTCATTTATATTGTACATTGATGGCTTTTTAATCATTTATTATTTTGATAAGTTATTCACAAAGTATTTTCCTTTTATACCAAGAAATTTTCTACCGTCATTATAAATCATGTTTAATGAATTTTAAATCGTACTTTCATTCTCCTTTTTATTTCTTTTGCCTCTTTAAGTTTTTCTTATATTCGATTTATCCATCAATTATTTATTAAACAATGAAACATATAAATTAAATGTGTAGAAAATGTTTTGTTTGTTTTTCTAAGTCCATTTAAAACTAATATCTCTTTTATTTTAACTCTATCAATCCGTCAAACACCGATATAATGGTCTCACCCTTGAACCCGTTTATTTCTTTCCTTGATTTATCTTTTTCGAAGATAAAATATTATAAATAGAAACAAAAAGAAATAAGATATTGAGTTTCATCACTTTAATTAGAAAAATCTTAGATCTTTAACCTATAAAATAAATTGTATATATATATTCAGAGACAGAAATCAGTACACATGAAAGTTTGATGATGAATATCTTTTGAACGCTTAATTTAACCGCCAAAACATAAGATACCATTTTTATAGAGCAGTTAATTTCCTACAAAAATTTTTATTGCGCATTTTTTAACAGTCATTTATTGTCAAGTTATAAAATTCATAAACAAAAATGAAATTTGTCTAAAAATCTTCAATATCATTCAAATGGTGAGGTTTACGGAAAAAATATAAGATACCTTTTTTGCAGAGCATTAAATTTCCTACAAAATTCGTCTAGAACATTTTTCTGTACAATCAATAAATAATGAGGTATGAATTTTAATCTATTGGACTGAAAAAAAAATAAAAAACTGCGATGCGGAGGATCTTTCTATTAAAATTAAGAGCTCATTTTTGGTGAGAATTGTTTTAAGGTGACTAGCAATCCATTTTTCCGTGGCACTTAAAAAAAAAAAGTCATTGTTTTGACCCACCCTAATATATATATATATATATATATATATATTAGGGTAGGTTTTTCTGTATATATATACAGAAAAAACAGAATTCTGTAAGTCATCGGGAAAAACCAATGGTACAAATTGGATTTGAAAAATTTCAATTATCGTTTTATTTATGGTTTTTATTATCAACACGTAGAGTATTCGAGTATGTTACACATGATTGAGTAAACTATAACTCAACCGTGACACAATATTCTTATTTTCTTTGTTACGTTAGGATACATTTTTTTTACTATGAATTCAATAAATTCTATGAATCAACGAGCTTTAAACGAAAGAATTATCCTATCCGAGTTATGTCTTTTTATTTTCATCTTCTGTTTTTCTTTCGCATCGTTAATATTCTGGTATTTCCATTCCTATATAAGAATGAGTAGATGTTTAAAAGCAATTGTAGGAGTATAAATAAAGAGGATAATAAAATATTAAATGAATCAATATATTTTAGGGTCAGAAGAAAATAAAAGTTTATAATAGAAATACAATAGTATAAAAATATAATTTTCGAAAGCGTCCTAATTTTGTATTAACCAAACCTCGAATCAAAGTCGGTGATATTTGTTCTGAGAGAAACTGCATGCTTATTCATATTTTTTTCTTTCTATTTCGTTTTTATTATACGTGAGAATAAAACCAGTTTTGTTAGTACCGTTCGGTGATAATTGGAAAACGAAGGCGTTTCTTACATTTCATCTTTGTTTATAGTCTGTAACTGTTTCTTTTTATTTATTTTTTTCCTAATTGAACTCGTTCGATTTTCAAATATAAAAATGCATATTTATGACGATAAGAAAATGCATTCGGTTTTATCATCTAGAAAATATTATTGAAAAACTGTAAATCGATATATATATATATATATATATATATCAAGTTCGTCATTATTATTACTATTTTTTTATTCGTAAGTGCGTAATATACTTTGAAATATATATTCAAAGTAAAGTAAAAATTAAGAGATTTTCCTCTTTTTTTTCTTTTTTTTCTTTTTTTGCTTCAAAATATATATTTAAACGAAAATATTGATTTATAATTTAGAATTAAAAAAAAAATTACAATATTTATTTTCGGAATATTAAAAATTATTGATTGCGAAACATTTCTCAATGGGAAACAACAACTTTTGTCTTTCTATAACATTTTTGCATATCTAACGTAAGCGTAAAAACGATGCGTCAGCTGAAAACCGCATAATAAAAATCAAGAATTTATAATTGAATGTGGACGTAACATCTTCTACGTTAAGCAAAGGATAAATATTTTATTATACTTGACAATTGATCGATCTTTGTGATTTTTTTTTTGTATATTTCTTCAAGGACCTACTGTTTTTTTTTTAACTTTGGTTTTTCCTTCATTCCTTACATTCGTTTTCTAACTACTTCAAAAAGTTTTAAAAAATGTTATTTTTATACCTTCAGAGAAATGCGCATTTGTAAATGTTAATAAAATTTGTGGTTTTCCTTATCAACAAGAAACTGTATTTTTCCTAGTATTTACCCTGTAACGTTCGTTTACCTTCTATATGAAAATAATAATGTAAACTACAAATTTCAAGTTTACTTATTCGATTTTAAATGATTTATAAAAATATCTCGACAACACTAATTGTTTTGTACATCATATGTAAATTCCAACATCACAATGGAGATTAGATTAAAAATGTGTTATATGAATTTATTTTTTCCTGAGAAAGAAAGATAATACTTTTTATCTTGAAAAAAAAAATAATCTAAAATAATTCGAAAAATGCGATTCACCCTGTATTTTCTTTCTATCTTTCTCCTATCTTTCTTTCTATCTTTCTGCTTCTCTCTTTTTTCTTTCAAACCAATCGCGGGAACTTACAGCAAACTTCCCCACGTATATTATATGCGTCGTTCGTACGCACGAAGATAAGACAGGAGTGGGGATTGTGTCAGTTTTATATACGAGAACATCATCCCAATGCCACCATACCGTTTTTAACTGGCAAATAGAAAGGTTCATTCGAGAAACAAGTTTTTATCCTTGACATTCTATTCGTATCTTCTGATTCTCTTAACTCAATCATGGTGAGCAAATTTGAGGATTTTCTTTTTCTCATTATTATTATTATTATTATTATTATTCATTTTTGAAACTTATTATTAACAAATGATGTTAATAATAGCAAATTTATTTTCATATAATTTGCATATTTAATCTATATTTCATTTATTATTTATGTATTTAAAATATGTTGTTCAAGAATGGAAACATTGTATTTTTCAGATGAAATATATAGTATTTATGAGTGCAATGGCTTGTTTGGGTTATTCCCAGAGACCACCATACGCGGGTAGCAGTCACCGTTATCCTGTAGTCTTTCCACAATACACAGAAGCAGCTGTAGCAGCAGCAGCAGCGGCGACAACACCTATACCAGGACAAACTGCAGACGTTGAGAATCGTATCAATGCTGAAAGTGGAAGTTCTTTGAGTGCAACAAACCCTACCAGTTCTACAACCATCAAAGTACCAATTGATTTACCGGTTGATGCATATGGTGACATAGATCTTATTAATAGGATCAAAACCTGGCCTAAAGAAAAACAACCTTTTTGGTTTATCAATTGGCAACAAATTCAAGCTCATCGAGGTGATCCAGTTAACTATGCTCAAGTAAATCAACAATTGCAACAAGATCAACAAACGCAGAACCAGTCATTTTATAATTAAACAATTGTGAACTGTTTTATACTTATATATTTATATGTATTTATAGAGTACATATATACCCTATTTTTATATACTCTATTTTTATGCTAGTCAAATTTTAATGTTTTTTCCTTCGGAAAAGTACTTCTTTTTATATTTGATCGATAGATTCATGGAGAATTGATCATTTAATATTCTATTCATAATATCTCTCATATCCCATAACACTTATATTAATATAAGTAAAAATTTCATTGAGTAAAAAAATTAAATATCCAAAAAGCAAAAGAGAATAGGAAATAAGGATTATTCATCGAAAGGGTAAAATATTGTTTTAAATAAATGACATTAACTAAATTTTTACAGTTAGATAAATAATTAAGGCCTCAGTTTAAGAATAGTTTTTATGAATTTTTGATGATTATTAAGTTAAATTGATAGATAAAAAAAAATATAATGAGATCTGGAATTTTAAAATATATACATTTTCGGTGTTAGAATATAAAATAAAAGTATATATATATATTATATTCATAATTCGTAATTAGGAATATAAAATTGAAAAGAAAAATAAATAAATAAATATTCATTTGAATGTATCCATTCGACTAAACTTACGAATGGAAGGAGCCAATAAAAACATTTGAAGTATTCATATGGTTGAACGAGCGTTCGTGATTCGTCGATTAAATTCGCGCCTTAAGTTTCAGTGATGCGCCATTTTCGTTGCAGCGCGTCGACCAATCATTCGTTTAGTTAGTTTATTCTAGCCCTCATTTACCGTAGCACATGCAAAGGGAGAGAAACGTGTTTCTACTTTTCACGTCGGTAGCGTAAAGAAAGATATAATATATTTAGTAAACAAAATGTTGAAAAAACTTCCGTAATGTCGTTCGTGTACTTGATCTAAAGCTTCTTTCAAGAATTGTGAGAGAAGAAGGGAGAGATCAAACACGAAAGAAAAAGAAAGGGAGAAAGAACGAGAAAAAGATAGAAGGAGAGAGACAGAGAGAAAAAGGAAGAGAGAGAGAGAGAAAAAGATAGACTGTGTTTGATCGTATACAGGGTGCCCAATGAACGTGTTTCACCGGCGTACGAAGAAAACGGTGAAACGAAAGAAAGAAGAACGATTATTATTGAGACAAGCCCTTCGTACCTGACAATCCGAGAACGCGGAACATCCCGAAAAACAACGTTTTCGTTTTGCTCTATATACTCGAAAGAGAATAACGCATCGTATCTCATTGACAACGCGAGCGCCACTGGGAATGTCGGGAAGTGACAGCCCAACGTTTTTTCACGGCCAACCCTGGTCAAACTGGATTGAAAGAATCGGAAGGGATAAACCTCTAAGTTAGTTTTATTTGATTTTATTTCTTACATACATTAATATCTTTTTTTTCTACTTTCTAACGAACCTCCGATCTCGACGATGGAGGTTTCGATTTGACGACCTAACCTCACTTTTTAGCGCTTTCTTTTTCTCCAAGTCTTCTTTTCCTTCTCCCTCTACTACTACCCCTTCCTTTCATTACCTCCCCCTTCCTCCCCCTTTCTCCACCTTTCATCCTTTCCACCCCGTTCCTCCCCTCTTCTCCATCTCTACTCGACTTTGCATTTTCTTGTGTTGATTATCTTTTTTATTTATTCATTGTTTATATTGATGATAACGCAATTTTGTTCTTCAAGAAGCATAATTTTCTTTATAGTTCATTGTTTTTCTTTAAAAATTCTCTTATTATTTCATAATTATGTAATATTGTAAATATTGATGCTTGAAATAATAGATATTAAAATTATTTTCTTTTCCTTCGATCATTGACTTGAATATATTTTTATATTATGTTGTTAATTAGGCTAATATTACATTTACGAAATATGAGAGAAGAAAAAAAGTCATTAATTTTTATTCGGTTAAGAATATTATCTACTTATATGTGTACGGTAGGAAATGTGAATAGAAAATGTATAACTTCTCGTTAAACAATTAGAAATTGTCATTGAATTAAAATCATGTTGAACACTTTTAGAATTTTTTCTTAAATAGAGTGAAATTTATATAGAATTCTATATAGCATTTGGAATAATAATTTACTTGACTAATGCGTTGGATTTATGTTTTAGGTGATGAAGAATCCGAAACAAAACCAGCGAGTACAGTTACTCGTCTTTCTTCGGAAGGTAAATATATCTTTTTCTTCGCATAAGGAAGATAATTTATAATGAGAATAATATCTTTTCAGATATCGATCTGTATGGATTTTGTCCAGAAAGAGATACTTTTTATGGAGTGGTCTGTGAGATATGCAACGCCATAGTAAAACCTCAAGCTCTTATACAGCATATGGGTAAATATTGTCGTTTGTATAAAACATATGATTTCTACTATATTAAGAATATTTAATGTAATGATTGAATTATTTTATAGAGAGTCGACATCCTAGCAGTACAGCTAATTTTCCTCCACCATCTGTACCTGTAACAAAACCTACAGTAAAGACACCATATTGCAAAGTATCTAAATTAAAGAAGACACAGCCAGCATCAGCACAAAATTCGAGTAGTACCAAAGTGATTCATACATCTGCGAAACGAAATACTTCGGTGGAACAACAACACCAACAACAACAGCAACAACAACAGCAACCTAGTAGTACCTCAACAACGTCGTTACCAGTTTCCTCTTCACCTAGATCACCTTTAGAAACAGCTTTACAAACAGTACAAACAGCAACCACTAGTACTGGCAATAGTTCCTTGGCATCCTCGAGTCCAGTTAAAAGTCCTGGGACAAGTGGAACAACCAGACGAAAAAGGCTGAAAGCAGATCGTTCTCTCCTTAAAGACCGAGAATACGATCCTGATAGACACTGTGGAGTATTGAACGAAGAAACAGGGAAACCATGTACAAGGTCACTTACCTGCAAAGCGCATACGGTTTCCTTACGTCGAACCGTTATTGGTCGAAGTAAAACATTTGACAAATTACTCGCGGAATATAGAGCAGCTAAGGAAATACCGAGTAATACGAGATCTAGCAAATTATCAGTCAGTGGTACAGTTGTCCCTCTACCATCGCCATCGGTCAATCCAATATCATTGACAACTAATGCTTCTACCTCAAATGTTGATTCCGAAGCACCAAGTTCGCCGCCGGTTTTATCGCTGCCAGACACCTACCCACTGCCAAAGGTACGAATGCGAATCACATCTTATATTTATATATAAGATCAGATTTTTCTCCACTTTACTTTATTTCTTTTTGTTCTATGTCCAAAGAGATGGATTATTTGTAATCCTTCGCGTCGTGTGACTATTATTTGTGATGGTATTTTAAACACTTTTATTTATTTGGACAGTATTTTCTTTAGTATTTATAATAAAAGCATAATAGTTATTTCAGAGAATTGCGCATTGACAATTTATTTTAAATATTAATCACAAATGTGGTTATAAATACTGGCCAAATAAATATTACCATATTGTTATTTTTTGTTTCCTTAATAATGCTCTTCTTCTTGTAGAAATGAAAGTTTTTGTTGGATGACCCTTTTTATTTTTAAGTTCCTTACATTCATCAAGATAATCAGTGATGATAGTTTTATTGAATTTTCAAATGGCTTTTAGCATGTTTTTCATTCGAAAATTTTGATTTCTTCCAATATAGATACTGTGTTCGGTCATTCTTCTTCTTCTTTTTCTTCTTCCTCTTCTTCTTCTTCTTCTTCTTCTTCTTCTTCTTCTTCTTCTTCTTCTTCTACTTCTACTTCTACTTCTACTACTTCTTCTTCTCCTTCTTCTTCTTCTTCGTTGTCTTTTTATGAATTATTCTTAAGAACATTGCTTTTATTGCTATTAATGTTTATTTCATATTGGTGCTGTCTCGATCAGTAGAACGCTTTAAAACTTTCATTTCTGTTCATCTTAGGAATTACAAATTACGTTACACGACGCCATTATGTAATAGTGCTGAAAGTAGGATAACGACATGGAGACGTAAGCTTTGGTCTTTTTTTTTCTTTTCCCCATAGATGATGATTTACCTGTCTCTATGTCTCGTTTGATATTTTAAAGTGTATATATATATATATATATATATATATTTACACATATTGTATAGTTTTAGGATTGCGGAGGCCCATAAGTTTTTAGTGAAATTTCTAACGTATTTTTTTCTCTTGAGGTTTTTGTTCCTTCTTATTACAGCCCAGTAGAAGGGATGTTTTTGTTTTATTTTTCTCTTTCACACTCTCTTCGAAATATACTTGGTCGAAAAGTATCTTAAATAAAGGCAAGAAGTATGGAGACAAAACAGGAAAAAGTTGGAGGAGAAAAGAAAGAAAGAAAGAAAAAAAGAAAAAAGAAAACGTTAGAGGAGGGTGCCGGTTGATACTTGTTTTCTGTTTTTGTTATTACAGGCTGTTGATTTGCTTTATCGGTGTCTGGCCCCGCATGGCTCCACTAAACCTGTAAGGCATGGTTTCTTTTGGGCACTTTAACGCCACACATCCTCCTACTGGGCCCTACGATTCTTATTTCGAGACGTCAACGCTTATCTTTTTTAGACCAAGCTCGAAGAGGAGTACGGTAACGAGGAACTACGGAGTCTAGAGTCATCCTTGGTCGAAGGGAGTGCGTCCACTAGCAGTTCGCAGACAGCAGCAGCGCAGCCTTCTTCTTCCACTTCATCAATGATGATGGCACCGATATCAGTGGTTTTGCCATCACTATCTCCATTGCCGGCAAATACTGAGGAGTCATCAGTGGCAACCTTGATACCAACTGCTTCCCCGGTACCATCAGCCCCACCGCCAACGACCACAACCTCATCGGGATCTACCTCGACTTTGCAGACAACATCTTTAAATTCTATTATAGTATCACCTATGGCAGTCGTATCGAACGACATTCCATCACCAAATTCAACGGCAACGCCAACCACAGTATCAACCCCAATTACCAATTCTGTGACAACCCTAGCTACAACACCTATCACAGCAATAACCAATCCGACTACACCTTCGCCTAGTTCAACCATCATATCAACCTCTCTGAAAGCTGATAATACATTCGATGTTGAT